TATGGAACCAACCCACTTTTTCAGTAATAACAATACTGAGTTTCATCCAGCTGATCCAGTTGTAAAAAATGTATGAACCGGCCAATATAAAACTATAATGATATTCAAATTCGAAGGATAACCATTATCTAAGATACAACAAAGCTTCGTTGAATTTCCAGCAGGCGCTCTGTGAGTTTATTATGCATAGCTACGTGTTCTTCATCCCATAATTTCCTGAACATTGACATGATTCCCTACTTAGTTAAGCCAGGGTCGTAGCTTACCAACTGCTGGGGAGACTCAACCACTCTCATAATAATACGTGTATATCTTACCTCTGGCAGTGTGCTCGTGACCAGAGCTTAAAGTTTACAAAAATCTGAGCCACCATTGTAAGTCAGCGAACTCAACTGCGTGTACGTCCAAGGAAGACAAGCCAGAAATCTCCTTGTAATGAAATGTGGATGTTAAATTAATAAAATAATGGATAAGAAAATACAATTATGGCACCTTTTTTCATTATTTTCTTTCACAAATTAATTTAAAATGCTTACTTTTCATCTACAGTGTACACAATATAATTAATTAATACGCAATGCACAGTTTAGTCCTAGGAGAAAACCTTTAGGCCTTCAAACACGATGAATATTTTCTTACAGAGTGGGGAGGTAGTGCATCATCTTCACAAACCTAAATAGTCTTTGTAAGAATTCAGTTATATTAGTGATAAGAATTACAAAAAAAATAGACTTGTTTTTTATTTATCCTTGAAATTTGAACTTTGGGGCCATTTAGCTGAACCAACGCTGAATTACCGAGTATACTGTACAGCTTCTTACAAAGATACTGATTTTTTGAGGTTCATTTTTTGAGAACAACTGTTTTTTGGTGAAGGTCAGGTATAAATTAATAACTTCTGCTTTTCTTGATGTTTAATTTGTTTCCTTTGATGATATTGTGAAGTAGCGTATTGGAAGGACCTAGCTATGACGTATGGCAGTACCAGCGCAGTTTATGCCAAGTGGTACATCTGGTAGATAGTGGTTCTTGCTTTTCTGAACATTGTTTTACATTTTCTTGTGTGCTGTCTCTCGTTTATGAGTCGTGCAGTTGTGTCCTGGGACGATTTACTCTTCTCAGTTAGAAGACTATCTGCACTAAGAATATCTAGAGAGCACCACTCAGAAAATTTTTCACCATCGGGTTCATGGGATAAGTCAACACTTCAGGAGTCAAAGCCACTGCTAAACACCCTTCTTAGTCCCCACAATAAGGAAGCTTACAAAATAAAGCACACATCCCGGCGGCTCCTCAACAATAATGGAGTTGTCTTTGATATGCATTTGCAACACCTTTTGTGACACATAATTTGTCATTCCATGGACCTTGTAAGCGTCTGGCGGCTCAAAGGATCACTCGCTGAACAGTATTGATATTGAAACAGTTTATTTAGTCAGAAAAATACAGATACAGAGCGGACATTAAGAACAATACTGACATGGCTGAGCCAAATGAGAGCCTGAGCTCTCTTGAAGGCACCTGATATATATTGTACATTTATCTCAAAGAATTATGATTTATAATTTTAATATCATCTGGATTAGTACACGTAAGATGGTGTTAGTAAATACAGGTAGCTACCAAACAGGGAGGTACAGTACTACCGCCTGGGAAGATATTGGAAGCATAATGTGTTGTCTAATGGCAGACCCTGCTGCCATATGGCATCACAAAAATTGTGACCAAGTCCCAGGTTGCTGATCTGACTTTCTGCCTCATTTACACACAATTTCAGGGTCTCAATTGTTTCTCTTACTATTGACAACACAATATACATATATTGTTTCTCACTCTTGATCTTTTAAAAATTTTGTATTTCTTTATGATTCTTTATTATTATTATTATTATTATTATTATTATTATTATTATTATTATTATTATTATTATTATTATTATTATTACTATATTTTCGCCCCCCAGGCCCCGATGTGGGCCAGTGACCTGTACCCAGGTGGGCACAGGTCAGGTTTCTAATGGTACAGTAAAAGTATAAGTATAAAAATAAGTGTTACAGAAATATTACTACTTAGACAATAGACATCTGTTGTGACAGATTATCATGTACAGTTATTTTGTTGAGAAATATATATAAATTAGTATTAATCATATCACGTTGAGGCATCACCAGGAGAGCGACGGGTTCTGGTTAGTCTCCCCAACACCGCCAATCAACACAGCATTTTTTCCACCAGCACGTGAAGCTTCCAGTACTGGTAGATGTGTAGAGCATTGGTAGAGTGAAGGTAACGCTTCGCTCACTCACTATTTTTCTTGACGTGCTCCAATATACGTCGTGGCAACAAATTTGTAAACATGAAATGGGATTTGTTATGACAAGATGGAGTGATTATGATACTGGGTGACTCCCTGTAGTCCCCACCACCACATGTTGCCTGTATAACAAGTTAACTAGCTCGCGGCGTGGGCACTAAGGAGAGGATAGGAGCCCAGTGGGGTAGGCCGACTCTCATGGTCACTCTCTTGCCCATGTGGCTAGGGTTTGTAAAGCTGACTGACATTGACAGAGTATCTATCTATAAAAATACAGATACAGGTAAAGAAAAAAATACAAAATAAATAGAGAGTGGGTGACCGGCAGTTCCCCCCTTGTGTAGAGAGTTAGGGGATGTGTTAGACTATACATACAACACACATATACTGTACTACCGCGTCTTGTTCTCACACTTCATCACTCTGTCATTCTACTTTGCTCCTAGTTTTCCACTCCATCACTTGCTTCATGCCTTAATTTACCTGTCATGACTTATTACACATATATGGAGTGATTTATCAGGGATTTTTTTTTCCTAGCTTGCACTGCCTCGCCGTTTTAATCTTACACACGTGTAACAATGCCATGATTTTTGGAGTAGATTGTGTCATGTTTTAGAGGAAATACGTGAAAATTCTGCCTAGACAAAAATTACCTGCCATAACACTACACGACAGTGTCCTCACCAAAACCAGGAGAGCTCTGAGGCATGAGCCAATCACAGTGGCCTGTGAATGTGACGTCATAAGCCTAACTCTGCTGATTGGCTGGAAGCTGAGTTCGTGCCCCAGCAAGGGGGCACTCGGTTTTCAAACACAGAGTCTAGTTAGAGGTAGTGAAGTGTAGACGTATGTGGTCGGCAGGTCTTCAGCGCGGCGATATATATACCCATAAGGTTTTATCCATTTCACGAAATTTATTGCGATTTATGTGACCCATGTTTAACTAGCTAGGAGAATAGGTCTATCATTTTGAAGTGGTCAAATTCTAATAGAAAGTGTTCAATAAATACAGCAACCATTAAGTGTCATAATTCCTCCCTCCCCTTATTGAGAAAGGTTGATTTATTGTAAGTGTCTTGGTGGTATGCAGTGATACAGTGAGCCCTGAAAAATAACACAGCTATCACCTGTTTCCCCTAATGTCTCAATTATCGCAGGTTACCCCTATTCCCCAGTTATCCTCATCTCTCCCTCTCCCCTGTCCCCATTGGTGCAAGGGCGGCGTAGCCTAACCACAAACCAGCCATTACCTCCCTGACTCCACTCACACGTTCCTTCCTCCCATCTCACTAGCTCACGAGTATACAGAGAATGGAAGAAAGAAAATAGAGTAATAAGAACTAAGAAGAAGAAATAAAAGGAAAAAAATAAATACTTTATTACAAATGGTGACAACAGTTTAAATATTTCATAAAAATATCCATTCCACGTGCCTAACCATCCACCATGCCACCAGACGTAGTTTTAAAGTACAATACAGTATCTATGATTATAATTAATATAAAGTGACTTTCTTCTCTTGCTTCATCTTCATTTGTTAATTTGGCATGTGGTGAATTTTAATGTAATAGATAATTTGATATTATCAATAAAAAGTAAATAAACGGAAAATAAAGATATTTTACTTATTGTGTATTGCTGTAGAGTAGTTTAGTATCATTTTGCCGTTTTCTACACTCAATAATTTATGCACTCTACTGTAGTTAGGTCACTTATTATACAGAGTTCTCTAAAAACACACGATACTACTAAGGTTGTGAATGAGATTTTAAGGCTCTGGAGACTTGAAGCGGGCTAACGTTTTGAGGTAGACTATGGTGTAGAGAGAGAGATATCCCCTCCCCGTGATGCTACTACATTTGTCTTGACCACCTGAATGATCTACCTTTGACACCTGTGTACCCATGGACCTCAAAAAATTTCATGACCTGGGCACCTGATTTATTTCTTCTGCATACAGCAGGTATACAAACAATATACAGTACATAGACAAGGATAGTCCGGACAAAAACCATCACTAAGGTCGACTGAAATATTCAATTGATGATTTTCTTCTCATAAATCTCTTGACTGTCTTTGTAAAGTTAAACTATATAGTGTGTTGTTGTTTACAAACGTCAAGTGTTATAGATCTTTTTAATAAAAATAAATTATATTACATTATTAAACGTTTATAATACGTGATTAAAATATGTTGTGATATTAAACATTTGAAGACGTAATATTGTGTTATTAAACGTCAATAATGCGAAATAAAATTATGTAATGTTACTAATCGTTTTTAATTCATAAACATATTATTCTGTGTTATGGAATGCTTATGAAACATATTTAAAGAATTGTTAATAAATAATTTTGATGCGCAAGAAATCAAACAATCTTTTTCTTTATGAATTTCTGTGAAGACTTTATTTTTTTTTAATAATTGCAATTAGTGTTAGGGAAGATTATATCGATGCTGCTTAGATTTGTCGGCCGTCAGCACCTGGGTCCTTGTGGCAAGTGAGTCCAACCTGTGACTTCTCGAGCGGAGGAAGATCGAGTGAGGCCTGGCGTGTGGTGAGAGAGGTACACCTAGCACCCTCAATGTTTTAGCTCTGTCAAGTTTGGAAAAAAAATTACTTGCCCTTCCCACTACTTAGTGAAATACGGATAATAAGGACAATTCAGGATATTCTCTTGGTCTAATTTTTATCCAGTGTTTATTTTCCCGTAATTCAAAAACATGTTGAGTATTATCCAGGAGATGTAGGCTGCTGGTGTAAAGTTTTCCACTAATTAATTGGAGTCTATCTGAGAAACTAAAAACTCAATGGACGCACGCACAATTGCAAAAAAACAACAACATGATAACAAATAACTCGCTCATAGACTGACAACAAGAACAACAATGGAAAATAAATAATTGGCAATACTGATACTCAAGCCCCGTAGACAGAGAAATACCTTATGACAAATCTTTGTAACACTGCGTTTATGTATGTAAGGTCGCAGTTGTAATTTGTAAATAGAATGGAACGCTGGTCTACCCTAGTCCACAGCTAACCAGTATAAGGATTTAATATAAAATGAGTTTAAATTCACGAAATAATTTATTCTCTATTGGAGTAAGCGAGATTGACGTGACCTTGGTCTTCAGTGTCCCAGGTTAACCGCCCATGAGACACCTGGACACTCGCCGCGTCCTCCTCCTCGCTCTGGTCAACACAGCAACTGATCGTGTCTCCATCACGGTGACTGTTATTTTCACTTCCCTCGCTGGCGCTGCTTCTTGTTTGTTTAATTCCCTTACGGTAAATACAGTTTCCTTCTCGATGGTCATTATTTTCCTCATTTGTTTTGTCTGATCCTGAGTGATGATCAATATTCTCGCGTTGTGTGGTGTATCTCTCCTGGCTACTGGTGGTGGTGGTGGTGGTGGTCGCCTTGTTGCTGTGTTGGCTCTCTTGGGCGTCCACACTCTCAGGGTCGTGAGGCCGCGGGCTGTTCCAAGGCTGTACTTCTCCCGAGGCGAAGATAAGGTAGAAGATGGTGTTGAGTAAGTAGAAGACGACGGCTATGATGAACACCTTTCTCCACTGTGGCAGAGTTTGCTGTAAGATAAAATAAAATACACACTGTAGTCCTCATGAGAGATACTGAGCGTCACATACAACACAAAGCTTCTATTAAACAGTGTGAGAGAACGGCATTATTATCCAGCAGGGTGGGAGAGTAAGGTGACTGCTGCATTAATCTGGCAACATCACACTTTATCTGTGAACTATGAATTATCATTTAGTACTGATGATGCAAACAACGATTTCTCTCAAAAGTAGCTTGTAAAATTGGGAATAATATCGCGGGCTTAATTTGCAAGTGTATGGTAGTTTCTTTGACTAGAAGGCTTAACATGTTGTACAGGAAAATAACCCACATCTTATTTTCTTGCCAGTACTCACGCAGAGGTCAACAATTACAAGAGGCTCTTGGTTCACTTATATATATTTCATAATTTACTACTTAACCCTTCAATTACCACATGTACCTACTTATCATTAACTACAGGTGAGAGTGTACAGCATAACAACATTTATCATGACAATACTACAACTTTATCTCCACCACTTCATTGAATGGCTATTATTGTTATCTACACTGCCTTAGGCCCTAAGGTGACTCCCAGAACAAATTCTCTTTCTAGATATTCTTAAACCTGACATCCGAGGCTTGATTAATCCCTAGTGTTCAGCAACACAGTTCACAGCCTCATCATGTATGAAGTATTTGATGTGGAGTTGGTATGCTTGTCTGTTTGTTTACACCAGACATCAGCACCGCAAATTCTAAATAATTCAACCAAATGAATAATATCTTTCTGGTTCAACAGAAGATCATGTGCATCAAGATATTCTGTTTGGTGTTTCTTTCTTTATTCTTATGGACGGCATAGCTGGGGTGTTCACAAGGTCAATAAATACAGTAATAAGGTTCCAATCTAATTCATTGTAAAACTCTCTCCTAAAAGTATCTTTACGGAGGGGTCCGATGAATTTAAAAATGAACACTGTGACTCCTGTTGTCTCGATAGGGTTGTCAGAATCCTACGCCCGTTGTGTCATATAGTCTCACACAAAATTGTAAAGATACTTTTTGGAGAAACTACATAGCTCACTACTTCGTTAGACACCTGGAGATGGAATGATGGGGGAAGGAGGGGAATGGGGTGTAGCTAAAAAAATGCCTAAGACTTCACCCGGACACTAAACATATAAAAATAAAAAATAAATAAATAAACAAACAAACCATAAACGGAAGACCTCTGAGAACTCCATTTTGACAAACCCTTCGCAGGGCATCTGGAGGAGAGATGGGAGTCTGCGGTGGAGGGTGGGGGGTGGGGGGGCTTGTGTACCTCCATCGAAATAATAGTTGAACTTTAGGTAATTGTTGGGGTGGTGATGTTAGTAGCGACATACCTGATTATTAAGAAGGTAACCATTGAACATAGGAGCGAGGAAGCCCGGGATGTTACCAATGGTGTTCGAGATACCACACAGCGTCCCGGCGAAGTTGGGTGAGAGGTCGATGGGGTTGATGTAAGGGCCAGCGTATAAGGCGCCTTGAGCGGTGACACCTGCCACCAGCAGCGTTACTGTCGCCAACCAGTCACATCCCACCCACATGAGCCCCACCAAGCACATGGCAGGACCCACGTTAGCTGTTTGGAAAAAGAATGTCAATCACAAATGGTCTTCATTGTTATATCTTGAGCGCGTCACACCAATTAAAAAAAGTGAATTGCTGTACAAAATAATATATTATCATCATGTTCTAACCGAGCCTAACTTGACTTAACCTAACCTTAGTTAACCAAACATAGGACACGTAACAAAACCTAGCCTAACCCAGCATATCCTAATCTAGTCTAACTTGGCCTAAATTAACCTAACTTAACCTATAACCTAACCACCATCTCTCATCCCTACACCACCATCTTTCCACTCCTCCTCCGCCAACTCCCAACCGTTCTCCAACATCCCTCTACCAGTCACCTCAAGGCCCAGACATCATGGCCCACCAGGTGCTGTCATGTCCCTACCACAGTAGGGTGTGTCATAGGAGGGAAGATCAGCTAAAACTAATGGCCCATCACTTTTTTGGTAGATTTTAGTGTATATAAACAGAAAATAATTTCTGTTTCAATATTTTGCAACCTTTTGCTAGGTAAATTTTAGCGTGAAATTTATCGAAAATCTAACGTACAGCTGCATTAGTGCATTACAATTAAATAGTGAACATTGCTTTCTGACTTCATTCTTTAACAACCCAACTTACAATATTTTTTTCTGTTTCAGATTCTGATGCATTTATAAGTTGATAATATTTGCGATGGCTGCTTGTGTCAGGACGAGGAACCAAAAATCCAGCCATCTCAGTCACTATCTTGGGTCTGGGAGAGAGCTCCTGAAGTCGGAGTTGCCTACATTGAGAGATGCTTTGAGATACGGTGTTTTAATCAGGCAAATCAGTGAAAAGAACCAAAGAACTTACACAAACAAAGACATTGCCAGTGATATGACCAAAGCTGTCTTGGCACAGTACACTCTGGCTAACGCTCAGTTCAAGCCTCCAGTCATAACAAGTCAGAAGAAGTTTAGTGAGAGACTGCTAGCCAGTTGGGAAAAGGCAAGAGATATCTCTCTTGGGAGAGGAAAACTTGCAGTTAAGGACAGCTTTGCCAAGCAACTGGACCAGTTATTTGACATAATTACTTGCAAGTGCCCAATTGTTCTCTGTCCTGAGTTTGGATGCGATCGTGACTGTAAATCCGAGGCCCACATCTCCTGTATTTGCAAGCGTGAACTGAAGATTCCTGTGATCGAACTGGCATTTGTCAAAGCACAGAGAGAGAAGACTGGCAGTATAGGGGCTCTCATGATTTCTAGCCAAGATATTCCGGAGTCCAAGAGACAGGAGGCTGCCACAGAGAGACAGAAGAGGAGAAGAGTTGCCGAGGAAAAGAGACTTGAGAAGGCCCAGGGTGATGTAAAAAAGGCCGATGATTGGAGTCAAGCTGATTCAGAGTTTAATGACTTCCCCATGGCTGATCCGAGTGCTGACCAGGAGAATGGTGACTTTGTCCCTAACCCAGAAAATAATGATCCCAAACCTTCCAGGCATAAGATTCGAAATAGGAAAGATATCCCGAGCATAGCTCTGGCCAGCATGCGACGCCACACTGGTCTCAGAGAAACTGCAGAGATAGCAACAGCTGCCTGGATTGACGGTGGTTTGATAACACCTGATGATGTTCACCTGGTGATAGATCATAACAAAGTAAGGAGAGCTCAGGAGAAACTTTCAGTAACCTAGAAGAGGAGTTTGATAAGGGGATAAGAGAAAATGGAATCAATTGTTTGTTCTTTGATGGGAGAAGGGATGACACTAAAGTGTTCATGAAAGTTGGAGATTCTGACAAGTTGTTCCCTGCCATGGTGAAGGAGAAACACTACTCCTGCTGCAGTGAACCAGGAGGGAAGTGTGGTATTTCACTCCAGAGAAAGATGACATCAGAAACCAGCTGAGATAGTGGCAGATAACACAGAACTGGCTCAGAGAGGAACGTAGACCAGACCCTGCAGGCCATTGAGGACAGCACCAACACGAACACAGGGTGGCAAGGGGGGGTCATACAGTGGATAGAGCGGAAGATTGGGAGGAAGCTGGTCTGGATTGTTTGTGACCTCCACACTAACGAGTTGCCACTCAGACATCTGATCCAGGAGCTGGATGGCAAGACTCTTTCAAACAACAGATGGTCTGGTCCTCTTGGCAAGATGCTGGACTCTGCCACTGAGTTAGAAATAAATCCGAGCTTTGAAAAAATCACAGTTGGCCTTCCACTCGTTGAGCTTGCACATACTGTCATTGACGACCTGAGTACTGACCAGTACTATGGTTACATGATTTGCAGTGCCATCAAAACTGGGGTCATGCCTGATAGACTTGTTTACCTGCAGATAGGTCCAGTCTCACATTCTAGGTGGCTCACAACGGCTCTCAGGTTCTGCAGAATTTGGGTCGCTCATCATAAACTGAAAAGGAACCAGCTTCACAACCTGAGACTTATTGTCCAATTCATCGTGAGTGTCTACTTGCCAAATTGGTTCAACACCAAGGTCAAGTCATCGTTCTCCGAAGGTCCGAGGCATGTTCTCTTCCAGCTTGAGCTCCTGAGGAGTCAGCCAAGGAAGGTTGTTCAGATTGTGGAGCAGACTGTGAGGAGATCTTTCTGGTATGCTCATCCCGAGGCAGTTCTGCAGACAATGCTCTGCAGTAAGGATGAGGAGGAGAGAAGAGTGGCAGTCAAAAAGATCTTGGATATGAGACTTATGAGAGGATCTGGGCATGATGAATCAGTTGGTGACGATTCCTTCAGGGTCAGGAAGACTCCTGAAGTCAATCTAGGTGCCAAGACCCTCACTGATCTCATAGATCTGGATAACATCCAGGCTGGCAGTGAGCCCCTTTACCTGCAGCCTCACCAATGTTCAAGTCAGAGCTTTCCTGGACAACCCCATGCATGTCCCTGCCTGGCCCTCGCACACCCAGAGTATAGAGCGTTGTGTACAGCAAGTGAGCGAGGCCAGCAGTCACGTGTACAGCCAGGAGAGGAGGGAAGGCTACATCGGAGCTCAGGTGGTCAGCAGGGAGGTGATGAGTAGAAACAGAAGCAAGAAAGACATGTTCTCTATGGTGTGCAGCAATACCGGGTCGTAGTAGTAAAACCGGTTTTTGTATTTGATGATTTTGTTTTCTAAAGGAATATTAAATTTAATAAATGTGTCAAGATCATTCGTTTCACTATTCCGGATCATTTTCATCCTAATAAATTAACCTGATACATTTACTTTACTTTAAATAAGCTATTTAGTGGTGTTGGTAAAAGGGTGGGAATACTGAATTTTTATAAGATTTCAAGTTAAAATTTACCTAGCAAAAAATGAAAACTTTTCAAATCTGAAGATATCACATGATTCTGCACATAGAACTACATCATTAATACCATGGGCCGATTTTTCAAACTCAAAAAAAATAAATTCGCCTCCGTATGACACACCCTACTACCACAGTGTGTTCGTGTGGTGGAAGCAGGCTGTGGTCTAGGTCAGCTGGTACAGGAGGTGTTGTTACTGTGATCTCTGTAATAGTTATACTATGTTATTGTTCCATGTTGCTGTTCCGTTCTTATTTTGTACCGTATGTGGATGTATTGTACTTCTCAGATACAGGGATTATTATTATTATTATTATTATTATTATTATTATTATTATTATTATTATTATTATTATTATATTGTGTTGTTGTTGGTGGTGTTGTTGTTGTTGTTCAAAAGTGTCTGTACAGTCGAATTTCTAGCTTATCTCCTTTCTCGTGGACAATGGTACTCAATGCCACTCACTCTCCACCCAATCACCACACAGCTCACCACCACACCCGCTCCCTTACCCAATCACCACACAGCTCACCACCACACCCGCTCCCTTACCCAATCACCACACAGCTCGCCGCCACACCCGCTCCCTTAACCAATCAACACACAGCTCGCCGCCACACACCCGCTCTCTACCCAGTCATTGCCCTGCTCGATCATACACTACCCTGCCTCACTTAATCCTCCTTCCTCTGCCCAATTCCCCTACATCTGCCCCCTCCTCCCACCAACACTAAATCCTAACCCCATCACCTCCCCCGCCTTAGATATTACACCATCCCCCTCTTAAATCCTAATCCCCATCTCCCCCTACCTTAAATCCTAAACCCCATCTCGCCACCATAAATCCTAACCCCACCCCAACCACATTAAATCCTTACTCCTGACTTACCTATAATATGTGAGATCTTCCTGACGCTGACGATAGAGGTCCCACACCGGAGCTGGAAAAAGTCACCCACTACCCCAGTCCCCAGCGACAGCATCCACATACCAAGGTAAGGCAGCCCGGACAAGGTGGCGTTCTGCTCCCAGAAAAAAATAACAACACGAATTAATTTTATCTGGTTTATTTTGCAACTAATCTCAAGTGTTATAATGTTTTTTTTTCATTTATTTATTTAAGTAGGTAATTTATTGTTTTGTTTATTTAGTCTTTATTAATTGATTTATCTTCAAGTTTTGTCTCCTTTATAAATGTATTTTACATGTTTTTTATTTTATCAATTTATCTGTATTTTTTGTAATTCTGTTGTTTTATCAGTTTACTTTTATTTACTAAGTTATCAAAGTTGTGTTTAATATTTATTTTTACTCTTGTTATGTTTATTTTATTTTATTTTATTTACTAATTTACGTTCAAGGTCAACTTTTTTGTAGTAATCTATCTCTAATAATTTGCCTTCAATTGCTAATATGTTTTTATCAATTTATCTATAAATTATCTTTATTTAAGGTAAATCTGTTGTGCTAATGTGTCGTTACTATATTTACTAATTAATCTTTTGGTTGTATGTTATGATCATTAGAATACAAGTGACTAGTTAATGTTTACTATTGTTTTGTCTATGACGTACGCTCGTCTCCTGTTTTAAAGGTCAATGGGTTTTAACTAGCGGACCTCCAGTTCTCCCAGCTGTGAGTGGGTACCTGACTTTACACTGACCATCTTTAAAGTAATACAAATTTAAGAACGTGACTTAGACTGACCGATTTGATGTCCTGGTGGAGGATGGTCTTGATGTAGAGGGGGACGGCGGAGAGGAGAGTGTAGAACCCCCAGTTGTTGCCCAGTACACCCACCACCATCGACCACACCGGTAATGACGTCAGTACTGACCGCCAGGGCACCGGCAGCGCCTGAAGGTGTGAGTAGGGCGTTGTAAGGCCAGGGCTTACACATACATACACACACACACACACACACATATATATATATTATTATTACACAAGGTTAAGGTATACCTACTGACCGCCTTGCTCTTAGTCTCGCCGATGGAGGAAGTAATGTAGTGATGCTCGTGTTTAGAAATCCAGCGGTAGTTGGCAGGTGTGTCTGTGACCACCAGGAACCAGGCGAGGCACCAGACCAACGCCAGCGCCCCCTGCAGGTAGAAAACAGCCTCCCACCCCAGCTTCTCGATAATATACGCAGACACCGGGAACGCAACGAGTGTGCCTGCTGGTGCTCCTGGAGAACGAAGGAAGGCAGTTTATTATTTACTGGCCTAAACTATTTATAAACAGACAATACTTTATCAAAATTTTAGCCATTGTTGAGATATGAACTGACCTAAACATTATGATAAATTATATAGAATTTACTTAGTGTTCTAATGTTCAGTGACCTAAACAAACAGTGGTAGACGTCAATACTAAAATTCACTGAAGCTTCTCTCCCTTATGTAGTTGTTCACGTTTTCTTCCTTTCACGATTATAGATATTTAAGGTGTATATATGTAACTGGTCGGAATTCTCTCACTTGACTTGGTTTTTTTTATTATTGTGGATGGTAATGCAGTGGAAGCGCCCCTTGGAGAAAAACCCGAACCAGCACAAACACACTTAAATTACAACAATAATTTCTCCGTGACCCGTGGAAAGATAGCACCTGTGATTGGGGTGAATGAGACGCACTGTAAAATTTGACACTTCTATTCCCTCCAACACTACAGCCACACTCAATAATGGTACACCAACTTATGCGCACCTCTTAGCCTGGCTTAAGACACTACACTGGGGAACAAAAGTTATACATGATATCAAAATAGGTAGAAAATTAGAAAACAATAAATTATAAGTTTAAATAATGTTGCTTACACACATGAACAGGCCTTAAGGGCAGTCAACAAAATAATATCAATCACTGAGAAAATGGCATTGGGAATAAGAAATTATGAACTCCACCATGAATAGGCCTTAAGGGCACTCAACAAAATAATATCAATCACTAAGAAAATGATATAGAAAATGTTAAGAAATTATGAACTACACACATGGATCAATCATAGCCTGTCTGGGGTGACACACAATTACTACAATCCTGATTGCCCAATAACCCAAAAGGTGTAACTACTAGCCTGCCAAGGAGGCCGGCATATACAAAAAACCCGAGAAAATCACTCATGACTCATCCGGCAGGCGGGGGCTCTGCTGTGTTTTATCAGTAATTCCTCTAGAACTCAGGAGTCATGAATGCTTTTCTCCACCAATACCCGTAAAACATGCTCCTTAGTCTCACACATGGGTCCCGAATGCACCTCTTAAGGCACTAACAAGCTCTTCACAACTTTTTAGAGAATTTCTTATGTCTCACATGTGAAAATCAACCATGAGGAGTGTTGTTCTCACACCTGGACTTGGGAAATTTTAAACACCTTACCACCCTCTCCCTTAACATGCATCACACAAGCTCAGAACACATCCATACTGGGAAAAGAGAAGTGTCTCTGAGTATCCACTAGACTCAGACTCCTGGTCTCAGTGTGTGACCGTTCATTCACTCAGACTGCCTCAGCTTACACTCATTACATCCATGGACGGGAAGAGAGGAGAACGTCAGCAGGTGACCCTGTCCAGATAATACTTCTAACTGACCGAAGACACGTGGTGTTGTGAACCCACGTGGGAAGAACTGAGCAACCATGCTGATGCTGGTCCCACGTAGTTTTAGTTGTCGGGAGCACTCGTTCACTCAAGAGATCCCAGCTAAAACCTTGCTAACCAGTGACAAGCCTGCTCCGATTATTCCCATCTCGACAATCATCAATCTTCAACGGCAGTCGTCAAACTGCAGTCATCAATAGCAGTCAAGTGGGTTCTGCCGAAACCCTGCAATGAACTCGCTGTTAGCGATTGTTAACCTCTATCACCGCCCTATCTAAACCCTGTCTGAGATTTAACAAGACTTACTTGCTACACTGGAGACATGTGCGCGCGGAGACCAGACCACGTCAGTGTTTTTCCTGCACTGGCGCTCAGACCGCCCTGTCTGTTCAAGCTCTGTCGTCCGACTGAGGATCGGCCAGCCTCGTGCTTTCCCAAGGCGAGAGCCTGGGCCTACGTGACATTTTTTCCACAAAACTAATAGCTTAATTGAGACACACGTAACATATTTAAACTGAGAAACGATCTATAATAATTTTATATTTAATAACTGTCCTTTAATTTCATGATTCACGTCCATAACGATTCGGTAGACTACATTTAATATTATATAGGCCTAGTTCCAGAAATCTCCGTCCTCTTGGGAGAGGTGTTGTTGGTGCTTGGCCAACCTGTCACGTGGCTTAGAATGACTCGGCGTATCGGCATCTTGGTTATCCACGCACTAATGTCTCCGTATATCACAGCGACATTTCTGAATATTACATATATATTCCCTTTCTCATAATGGTTACGACACCGTCTCCATGATACTGATGCCGTACTTGTGCTTGATAAACACACATCTATAGTTTTATTACTACTACTACTACTGACACAATAGCCACACCTTCGCCGCCATTTTATTACCTTAAAATTAAATATCCTTATACATAAGTAGCTACCCTAGCTGTGTTGAGTTAGTTGAGCTGCAGATCTACTACTGACACTACTACTACTACAACTTTTTTTTTTTTTTTTTTTTACGTGGCCTCCAGCCTCCCCCAATAGGCACACCTTTGCCACCATTTAATTACCTTAATATTAAATATCCTAATACATAAGTAGCTATCCTATCTGTGTTAAATTAGTTGAGCCGCAGATCTATGCGGCATTCAGTGACAGTAGCCTCATAGTCAATATCTGCAGCAGTTGTCGGAGTTGGGGCAAAAGCTCTCGTTCCCCTGAGGCAGAGCAAAGCCGACCGAATGAGAGAGAAAGACAGTCGACATCTCATCCAGGCTGTAACATAACTCCTGGGCTGCTGCTTCTATTCGGAGATCACCTCCGCGAGTCTGGCGAAGAAACATCTTGCACTTGGTCCCATCCCACCAGAGGGTGTGAACACTAGAGGAGTGAAGCTGCCTTGATCAACTTTCTGAATTCTCTCCTAGTATGTCCTTATCTTGTTGTTCTCGTTCCTCCTGTGTGCAGCATCGAGGGTTAAGTTACAGTGACATGCGGCCATGCGATCAAAAATCCTGATGTCGAAGAAGGCTCTCTGTCCCCGCGTCCAGAATCCTCGAGCACTGACATCAACACGGGCTTCGTTGGATGTGTTTGAAATCCTATGTTGGAAGATCTCACCATCCAATGGAAGGAGGGTAAGTTCTACCATGACATCATGGCAGATTTCCTTCAACATATTTGCTGTGAGATCCCGTACTTCGTCATGCCTTATTCATATGAAGCCCCCTTTCTTGCACACCATGGTGTGATCGACGTCATAGGAAGAGCCACACACACATTGGGAGGGCAAACCTTCTACTGGCCTACCATACCTTAGAGCATTGGCATCTGTAAATTCTTGTTTATTGAGACTGAAACCATTTGCCCTTATCGGTAACGTAGTTAACCAGTTCGAGGTGCTCACCTCCTGAGCTATAGCTACTTTTTTTTTCAAATTTCTGGAACTTGCAGCAACAGTTTTTGCAACTTATCACTTTGGCCGTGCTGTCGTTCTGTCGTAATGGATCTTCGAATCTTGTTTACTTCACTGGTATCCACCTCCCCTGTTGCGTTCTGAGCTATTATGTGGTCCGTGGGGGCTGCCGTGAGCTTAACTGAGTTTTGATGTTCGGTGGCAGCAATCTCCCCTGGATTGGTCAGACCCATTCCTCCTAGTCTCGGTGGTAGTGCAAGGAGTGATCTTTCTGCTGGGGTTAAGTGAGGGTGTTTCACTAGTTTGGGAATGAAATTGATGCTGATAGCTTCTTCCAGAGGGTGGATGAGGGGACCGATATCAGGGATAGTGCGCATCAGGTAGTTCCAGCAATGCTTGACTCCATGGGTGAATGCCGCAAAAGCAGCATGTGGCTCTGTGTTAGCAATCTCAGACAGAGCTTGGATTTCCCTAACCCATTCATTCACCTTTCCCGTTACGTACTCGGTCTTGAAGTCCGTCGTGCCAAATTCTGCTCCTAGGTGTCTTTGGCCATCCTTTGTTGTTTTGACGTCGCTTCCACCAAACACCTCCATTGCCCGTTCATAATGTTCTGGCTTCACAATGAGGAAAGACTTGCTGGCGTTTGGGTGGTGCCCGATTTGTTGGCCTTGTGATGTTACCAAGTCCCACCACTTTTTGATGTCCTCCACTTTTCCTGCTCCTGTAAGATCATCAGCGTACGCCACTTGCTTGACCTCAGTTGTTTAAAATTTTATTGTGTGTTGGAGCACTGATAGGCCTATTGTGTACATTGCCATTGCAGCAAGGTCCCCCTGCGCTGTTCCCTCTGTTGACTGTATGATGGTATCCCCTCTTAGAGCTTTGTTGTTTACTATATAAAGGTCTGATGGATTCCTATAGGAGTTTTCAACGTACATTGCAAAGCCTGGACACTTGATCTTGATGTTATGCAGTGCGGCCTTGCGGTTAAGTATGTTGAATGCGTTTGAAGCGTCCACCAGGAGAACGGCCTTAATATCGTTCTCATGGCGTGAATGGCAGCTACCTTCTACAACTACAACTTCTACTATACTACTACTACTATCACTGCTACTACTATTATTATTCTAATATACTATAGGACTAGCCGTGTGTCTCTCTGTGTGTGTGTCTGTTCTGGGCAGCCAAAACGGCACAATCGTTTTTCATCAAACTTGGTGGAAAAATCTCAAAAAAATCGTAGAGTGCAACAAACCTGGTCCCATGTCGATGGTTTCTTTAGGAAGGCATTAATTAACCATTTTATTTACGCTGGCAAAAGATGTCGCTGTATGATGTCAGCCTGCAGGACGATTGCAGTTATCCTACGGCTCCCTCCTCCTCCCCCACTTTTTCTCTTAGCCTACTTTTTTTTAATGTTGTTTGGATTAGTAAAGGAAGGAAGATGAGTAAATAGAAGAATAAAGAAGGGGAAACAGAAAATAGTTAGAGATAACAGGTGGAGGGGGGGGGAGCTGAGTTTCATCATGCGTCTGGATGCGCAGTTTCAAAGTTACCAGAGCATTTTTGGACCTTACGAGGCTACAGTGTATACTTATTCCTGTGGCTGACTGTACATGGAAAACGAGAAGAGATAAAAAGATAATAACAGGAATGCATGGAGAAGATAGAATGGGAGAAGAAGAGAGACCGAAGCATTATTATCCTTAAGAGGCGAGCTTGGAAAGGAGGAATAGCCGCGTGTCTGTTTGTGTGTCTGTTCTGGGCAGCCGAAACGGCACAATCGTTTTTCATCAAACTTGGTGGAAAAATCACAAAAAAATCATAGAGTGGAACAAACCTGGTCCCATGTCGATGGTTTCTTTAGGAAGGCATTAATTAACCATTTTATTTACACTGGTAAACGATGTCACTGTACCCTGTCAGCGGGACGGCAGTTGAGCGCTAGTCAAGCACGAGTGTTCGAACTTTCACGCCTTGGTAAACTGTACCACCGGACTCGCCACCTGGCACAAAGGGCCCACGATCACTTGTTCATTACTATAACAGCAACAACAACAACAATATCAGATACTACTACTTCTACTACTACAAAACACCATTTTCACAACTGCCATAACAACATTAGTACCTGCGTAGATGATGGCGGCCATTGTCGACCGTTCCATCTTGGGCGCCCAGCCGGAGAGCAGGGCGTGGTTAGCGGGTGACGTCACACCCTGGGGAAAGAATGGCACAGAACTCTATCATACTTTAGTTACAACTTAAGGAAGTATTTACAGGTTAAAGGTGAAGATCACGTGTTACTGAGATGTGATGCCTTTTTGGTGTGGCTTAACGAAAATTACATATATATTTTTTCTGTCTGTTTGTCTGTCTTTTTTTTTGTCTCTGCCTTTCTCTGGCTCTATGTCTCTCTCTGTCTGTCTCTTTGTCTCTGTGTGTCTCTCTGTTTATCTTTCTGTCTCACTGTTTATCTTTCTGGCTGTCTGTCTGTTTCTCTCTCTGGCTGTCTCTTTGTCTATGCCCTTCTTTTTGTCTGTCTGTCTCTGTCTCGTTCATTAGGCCTCTCTCTTTGTCTCTCTCCATATGGACAGAACAGTGATAACACAAAAGACGGGAGGCAACTGTGTGCCAAATTCAATCGGAAAATTATTGTTTTTATGAATAATGGAAAGTTTTATAATTGCAAAAGGAAATCGAATCAACTTTAAATCATTTTTTTATACTTAAGTCATACAGCGGTAATTAAATTTGTCTAGCCTTAACTTTTTTAGGTTAAGTTGGAGTGGCAGGTGTTAGTTAATGCTTGTTATGACATCATAGCCACATTAGGGGTAGAATAATACTTCTGAGCGTAATTGATAAATTGACTTCCTCTGGCTATTGGGTTACAGCCCTAACACACCTCAAGCTTCAAAGAGTCCCATTTCTAATAAACCCCAATTCTGATGGCGTCCTATCCTAGTGAACCTTAATGCTTATGCTTAGGTTTTGTTTTCTTTTGTTTATTGTTTTTTTGTTTTTTTGCTCGGTATTGTTTTGTAAGGTCAGGATTTGTTCTATAAGGACGTGGGTTAATATGACCTACAACTATGTCATCTTGGGTCAATAGCAGCTCTCGGGACAAGAAGGAGACAGTGAGGGGAAAGCAAGTCATTTTAAGTGTTTACGTTATTAAATGAGGCACGAGTGTGGTCCTCTGATGTTAGGTCAGGCATGATGTTGGTCAGTATCACACTCCACACGTCGGCGATCAAGTGACAGCGATCACCGGGGCAGGATCGTGTTCGTGTTAGACAGAGATACACGACCTGGACTTGGGTCAAGTTTCAAAGAGATACACGACCAGGATGACATACCTTTTCCGGGGTCCTACGGCCATGAACGATTCACTATCCACGACTCAAAGGGAGAAATAAACATCACGTCCTGATACTAGTCTTGTTGAAGTGAGATATACGAGTGAGAGGAAAAATTAATTACAATGTCATGACTTTGGACTGTTTAGTGTGTGTGTGTGTGTGTGTGTGTGTGTGTGTGTGTGTGTGTGTGTGTGTGTGTGTGTTTAAATAAACCTCCGCAGGTATACTCGACTGTTGATGTAGCGCTCAGGTAAATAATATCAAAACAGTACACGGGGTTGTCATGGATAATATCAAAGCCGACTCTAGGTAAATATTGAGATATATACTATTTTTCTCTATCCAGGAAGAGTTGCGGCCAGAGTGAGTGAATTCCTGTGACAACGGACCACGTGGTGTCCCCATTATGCACGACACCGCATAGTGAATGAGTTGCTGCAGCATCATGTGAAGTTCCTCATAACACCTGCGAGGGAATTACTACACCACGTGATGCCCCTCATAACACCATCCGTGAGGGAATTACTACACCACATCAGGCCCCTCATACACCATCTGTGAGGGAATTACTACACCACATCAGGCCCCTCGTAACACCATCTGTGAGGGAATTACTACACCACATCAGGCCCCTCATAACACCATCTGTGAGGGAAGTACTACACCACATCAGGCCCCTCATACACCATCTGTGAGGTAACTACTACATCATCAGGCCCCTCGTAACACCATCTGTGAGGGAATTACTACACCACGCCAAGCCCCTCACAACACCACCTGTGAGGGAACTAGTACTCCACGCGAGGCCCCTCATAACGCCATCTGTGAGGGAGTTACTACACTACGTGTCTGCTGTTCAACACCTCAGCTCACATGATCTACGTGTGTAAACATTAATCTGTATGTTCACTGTATGTTCCTTCACCTTTCTCTAATGAAGGCTTTTGTTAAACCACCAATGTATGTAACAAGTCATTTATGTCCAATGTATATTTTCAGCCTTCGGACTGCAAACTTTTTCAATAAACCGTTTATTATTATTATTATTATTATTATTATTATTATTATTATTATTATTATTATTATTATTATTATTATTATTATTACATACACACACACACACACACACACACACACACACACACACAACACACACACACACACACACATACACACACGGCTTCCCAAGCTCACCTATGCCTCCCCCACCTGGTCTTCCTCCCTAAATGCCACACAACGTAAACACCTAGAAAAAGTGCAAAAGAGGGCATGCAAGATTATTCTCTCCCCTTCCTACTCCACATATCAAGAAGCGCTCAACACACTGACCCTTTCGACTCTCACTGACCATCACCACGGCCTCATCTGCAAATTTGGTAAGAAGCTTCTACACCATCCCCGACACCGGCCCCTACTACCACCTGAGATCCCCTGTCCGAGAATTGCTGTTCGACACCACAACCGCATCCAGCCCATACGTGCACGAACTGATCGCTATAAGAACAGCCCAGTCCCAACCATTGTAAAATTATCAATAACATGTAATAAATCAGTGTATTCACTCCCAGTAAACACTGCTCCTACACTGTCACTATGTTGAAATGAACTGTAGTTTGAGCTGATCCCCATCTAAGTTACTATATGTCTTATTTGTGTCACTTATGTCACTTGTATATTATTTGTAATTCGTAACCCATTCCCCAAATATGTAACTGTATATTTTCAGCCTTCTGGCTGCCAAGCTTTTCAATAAACCGTTAATTATTATTATTATTATTATTATTACACACAACACACACACACACACACACACACACACACAAACACACACACACACACACACACACACACACACACACACACACACACACACACACACACACATACACACACACACAGACACACACACACACACACACACACACACACACACACACACACACACACACACACACACACACACACACACACACACACACACACACACACACGCACTTTATCTATTTCCCAAAAGTCAACTTGTATTTTGTATGTACATTACATTTCTCTGTTTATTATCAAGAACCGAAGGGATAACTAACCACACTATTACCGTTCATTGAACAATTATCAATCAATTCAAGGCATCAGCTGGTTGTGTGAGGCGCCAGGTACCACACACAGGTTGGAAGATAAGAGGCAATACGTACAAGAGCGAGGCCCACCAGGACCCTGAGGAGGATGAGTACGATGTAGGAGGTGCGGGCGGCAAGAGGCTGAAGGAGGGTCAGGAGACCAGCGGAGAACAGAGACCCTCCCACTACCCTACTGGGACCCCACACCTCCGCAAGGCGACCTCCGGGCACTTGAGACAAAATGTTGCCGTAGTAGAAGGCTCCAGCCACCAACCCCTGCGTCCACTCGTCCCACGGCAGGTCTCCATTCTGAAGTCACACAGCCTTGTTACCTACGTCTTGTCTCAGTAAGCAGAGAAAAAATGATGTTGTGTACCTTACTATAATTGGTTAAATCAGTTTGTTATTGTTTATATACCAGTGATGTCTATACAGTACACACTTGTCTTTGATCTCAGTGTAAAAGACCGAGAAGAGAATGATAATTTTTTTTTACGGGAATTAGCCCACCCGGGCACAGGTCAAACGACCCACAACGGGGCCTGGGGGACGAAAAAATAAGAACAGAAAGAAATTGAAAATAGAGAACAAAAAGGTTATACTGTGTTAATCTACACCACGAAGATGTCGGAAAACCAGCTTTATAAAGTGAGACATTGTATAAGTATAGAAACACAGAAGAAGGCAGAATATTCCACAGTTTGGCTGTGTGAGGAAAGAAGGAGGTACTATAACGAGCTATTCTCGTGTGACCGACATCCACAGAGGAACGGTGGGCACCACGGGCAAGACGTGTGTTACGAGCCCACGGCCTTGCCAGCGGTACACAGGATGCCAAATCCACCGAACATTGCCCGTTAAAGTATCTGTAAAAGAGAGAGAGTGAAGCAACATTGCGGCGAAGAGAAAGGGAAGAGAGACTGTCGACTAAAGGAGGAGAGTTAATAAGACGAAATGCCTTTGATTCCACCCTATCTAATAGTTGGACAGAAGAAGAGCCACCCCAGATATGAGAGCAGTACTCCAAGTTAGGACGAATGAATCCCTTATATACTTGGAGCAACTGCTCAGGAGTGAAGTAGCTACTGCATCTGTACCCTTCTCTCATGCATTAGTACCATTCTCTCACACAATAGTACCCTTCTCTCATGCATGAGTACCATTCTCTCACACAATGGTACCCTTCTCTCATGCATGAGTACCATTCTCTCACACAATGGTACCCTTCTCTCATGCATTAGTACCATTCTCTCACACAATGGTACCCATATATACAGGAATAACCAATACTGACGTAGGAGGTGTGTGGTGTGGCGTTAGCGTCTGGAGCTGGGCAGAAGTCATTATATTGTGGTGTAGAACCCTCCTGGACTTCCTCGTAGGAGACACTGGCGTTGAAGGTGGCGTTGAGGGGAGGGCCACCGGCGGCCGTCATGTTCCCGTGGCTCACCATGGCTACCAGGGCGAAGTTGATGTTTACACGTAGGATGTAGTTGAACATTACTCCCATGAAGGCCAGAAGAGACACCACATAACGCGCCGGTAAACACGCTGTAGGGAGTGCAGAAGGTGAGGTGGGGCGGGGATAGGCAGGTGGGGGCAATACATGGGTAAGAGGGGGCAATATAATGGGTAGGTGGGGGCAATGTATGGGCAAGAGGGGCAATATGATAGGTAGGTGGGGGAAATACATGGGTAGGTGGGGGAAATACATGGGTAGGTGGGGGCAATACATGGGTAGGTGGGGGCAATATATGATGTCACGGTTTGGATTGATAGATAATGGTATATGAATTATGACAGTACAGGTGAATTTCTACAACAAAGACTGAGAGTCCAGAGTTAAGTAGCTCATAATCTGAATGAAATTAATTTATTATGATAAGTTTTTACGATACAATTAAAAACAACAAAAATACTGAAAACTGAACTAATTGAAATAAAAACAAATAATACTTAATCTAACCTTACCCTAATATGACCTAACCTTAGAATAATCATGAAACCGCGACTCGTCAAAAATACACACAACAAAGAATACTTAATTTTATAAAAGTGTCCAGTCTTGAGTGGTACTGTACACTCGCTACAGAAACTATCTGCAGGGTCGGGTCCGATGGATTTCAGAATGAACACCGTCGCTGGGGTTGTCAAAATCCTTCGTCCGTTGGAGATACTTTTTGTAGTGAGTATACAGTACAGTACGTCCGCAAGTGTTTCTGTACACACCTGCAGTGGGAGAGGAGGAGTACCGGGCAGGGCAGGGCAAAGCCGGCAGGGCATGTTGGAGGCATGTTGACCTAGTGCGGATTGGGAACAGCTGGTACCTTTCTCCGCCACTGGTACTTCTTGTCAGGCTCTGCCGACCCCACCAACCTGAACTTGCCTCGTCACAACTCCTCACTCTCCTTATCGAACAAGTGAGCGAAACGGTTTCGCTATGTAACTATATGACTATATGTCAGTAAATCGTGACACATGAGTAGGTGGGGCAATATATAGGGAGGTGGGGCAATATATAGGCAGGTGGGGTAATATATAGGCAGGTGGGGCAATATATAGGCAGGTGGGGCAATATATAGGCAGGTGGGGTAATATATAGGTAGGTGGGGCAATATATAGGCAGGTGGGGCAATAAATAGGCAGGTGGGGCAATATATAGACAGGTGGGGTAATATATAGGTAGGTGGGGCAATATATAGGCAGGGGGGGCAATATATAGGCAGGTGAGGCAATATATAGGTAGGTGGGGCAATATATAAGCAGGTGGGGCAATATATAGGCAGGTGAGGCAATATATAGGTAGGTGGGGCAATATATAGGCAGGTGGGGCAATATATAGGCAGGTGGGGCAATATATAGGCAGGTGGGGCAAAATATAGGCAGGTGCGGCAAAATATATAGGTAGGTGGTGTTCGTGTTCTGGGTAATAAGTTCAATATACAGGAGAGAACACAAACACCTGTATAATTTTGTAGGTTCAATTTACTGGATAAGAGATATGTACACAAGGGGAGTAGCGCTCCTCAACCTGTCTGCTGGTCAACTGCTCTATAGACCAGTATGGCAAGTGATACATTAACAGCTTCCATACCTCGCCAGGCACATTAATTAAGCATGTGGGACATGGTAATTACATTGCCACACGCTGCTAGCTAGGCTGAATAAATAACATATATAAATGGAGCACATACATAATATACATACATAATATATAATACAGCATACATAATATACATACAGGTGGGGCCAAATATAGGCAGGTGCGGCAAAATATATAGGTAGGTGGGGCAATATATGGGTAGGAGAGGCACCAGATGGGGCGTAAAATTCTCCAGGCAGTAATATACCGAAGTTCTGTCAAGTGTTATATTATGTAGTATGTCAGATATGCTAGACGTCAAGTGCCAACTCGGATGTCTTAGGTCCTGAACAGAGGTTAAGAAAATATCACTTGGGATTGGAGTCCAGAAAAAAAATTATATATATATATATATATATATATATATATATATATATATATATATATATATATATATATATATATATATATATATATATATATATATATATAGGTCCGTTGTTGGTGAGTGATACGCCAATCAACGCTGCTCTAAGTAATGTTTCTCAAGCAGTTAGATGATGAATATGCGTGTGTGTGTGGGGGTAAGTGGGTGGATTTTGTAAAGCTGTCTTCGTTGTCTTAAAAAACTGATAGACGTTAATGATAGTGTAGTGTTTAGTACATAATAAACTTACAATTTGGTTTAGGATTTGACATGGAGTAAAACAAGGCTGTATCCTCTCTCCAACATCGAACAACCAGTTATCACAATTTGTAATGATATAGTTGTAAAAACTGACCAAAGAAAAAAGTTACTGGTAAATTAAAATCAAATACTCGAGGTGCAGGTAATATTGTTCTTATTGCAGACAGTGAAGAGATATGTTACACAAACTAGTGAATAGATTAGCGTAGAAAGCTGGGTAATTGGGTAATATAGACACCTAATGTTGTAAAGACGAGAATAATAGTTATTTGCACATTAAAAACAAATCCTAAAATAAACTCTTAGTAAACCAGGAACTTATATGTGTGTGGAAATTTGATGGTGAGAGGACCAGGGGAAGACACAGGCTAATTTGGTTGATCTAAGGAACATTGGCAAAGACAGACAGAAAAGGTTTATCGTGGAGGGACGTAGTTGACGGCCCTCGATTGAAAGTTTTCACGTACAAGATAAATTTATAATTTCAAATATCGGAATGATTTACAGTTTATATTGAATCGAATATTTTTAACTAATACAATAATTCTTATCGTGATTGTAAAAAACTGTGACCGGACCCTCGCTGTCAGGTCCACCATACCAGCGCCCCGGGTTCATCATCGTTCTACATCTGATTTAGGCAGTGCTTGTCATATTCATTAAAATGTCATTCCCAGTTAATATAAAACGAAAATAATATAATCGACTTTTTTTTCTCCTTTATCATATACGAATAGCATCAGGCAATAATTTCAGCGGTATTTTCATTACTACACATATCTTCCAAGTACTGTTCTGAAATGTTTAAATTTATTAATAACTCAATATATCTTTCACTAGATACACTTAATGGAAGAACAGTTTAGATAAAACGAGACCATTAGTAATTACAAATTGTGGCTGCTGAGGAAGTCTTGGCCAACAGTGACAAACTGAGAGTGACATTCTCCCAGCTGCTGGGAGCATGACAGTCTTGCAGCTGCTGGGAGCGTGACTGTTCTGCAGCTGCTGGGAGCGTGACAGTCTGCAGCTGCTGGGAGCGTGACTGTCCTGCAGCTGCTGGGAGCGTGACAGTCTTCCAGCTGCTGGGAGCGTGACAGTCCTGCAGCTGCTGGAAGCGTGACTGTCCTGCAGCTGCTGCGAGCTTAACAGTCCTGCAACTGCTGGGAGCGTGACAGTTTTCCAGCTGCTGGGAGCATGGCAGTCTTGCTGCTGCTGGGAGCGTGACTGTCCTGCAGCTGCTGGGAGCGTGACAATCCTGCAGCTGCTGGGAGCGTGACTGTCCTGCCCCTGCTGGGAGCGTGACTGTCCTGCGGCTGCTGGAAGCGTGACAGTCCTGCAGCTGCTGGGAGCGTGACAGTTTTCCAGCTGCTGGGAGCATGACAGTCCTGCAGCTGTTGGGAGCGTGACTGTCCTGCAGCTGCTGGAAACGTGACAGTTTTCCAGCTGCTGGGAGCATGACAGTCCTGCATATAATGAGACACAATAAACAGAGAAGAAGATACATATATGTAGAAGAAGTATAGAAAGTAGGAATGTAAAGATAGGAAACTTGGTAGCATGGCCGGTTGTTATTTACTCAGCGTCAACACGCTTATCTTATACGTCATGTCAATACACATATATTACGTTCTTAAAGGGACAACTTGTTAAACACCTCTTCGATACAACTATTTATTAATTCGCTCAATGACATGGACACATCAATATCAGTATTATATCGGGGTATTAACACATCAGGTCTTACGTTACTCGACAATGACTCTCGGACACGACATGAATGAATACACTTCCCACAGTAGGTAACTCACCCTAGGACGTTCTGACAATGACTCACGTGTACACCTGACGTAGGCCCAGTGGGTGCTCGGCTGGGCTGCCTCCTATGGGAGGCTTCTGCTTAGCTGGTGACGTCGGGGAGTCTCCCCTCCGACCTGGGGGGGGGACAAGCGTGACTCTGTGCGAGTGACCAGAATGACCTCTCAATGACCAACCTCTCTGAATGATAGTCGTATGAGAATCAGAATGCCCGTGGACGTGGGTGGGTGGGGTGCTGCATTCATCACGCTGCCTTCATCACGCTGCTTCTTCTCTGCTCGTATGTACTGTGGTTGACGTCCGGCTGGAGCCTTGGGGCAGTACTGTGTGTGACATTTGACAGAGAAACAATCCTAAAGGGATGATGGATTAGTTGGAAGTGCATTCGTAAAAAAAAAAGTTTGCTTCATACATTACGTCAATGTTTGGCACCTATGGTTTCCGTCACTACAATGTTCTCATTAGACTGGGTCGGGGAGTGAAGCTCTGCGCACTACACTGAATATCATTTATCACTACGCGTCAAAGAGTACATTATAAATCACACTAGCACAAAAATAACCTGAGTGAAGCTCTTTATTTATCGCAGTGTTACGTTACATTAACCATCATCATCAACACATAGCTTACAGGGCAAACGACGGGGAATTAGTGCGGTCACACGCGACGAGGCGGGGCGGGTCAGAAGGAGGTGAGGTCACACGAGGCGGGTGAGGCGGGGCGGGGCAGGGAGGAGCTGAGGCGCGGTGCGGGGGCGAGGAGAGGCTGGCCGGGCCAAGCCAGGCCGGTGGAGAGAACGGCGGGGCGTGGCGGGTGAGGTGGGGAGGAGCCGAGGCGTGGTTGATTTGGCCAGGCCGGGGCTTTGCGGGGCGGGGCGGGGCGGGGCGGGGCGGGGCAGGGCAGGGCAGGGATGGGAGGAAGGGTAAGGAGGGTGAGGTGAGAATTAGGACAGGGAGGGGGATGTAGGTTATATGACATATTAGGTAAAAACAGTTAGTACAGACACCGCTTTTATCACTAAAACACAATGGGTACATTTAACACTGACCAACAATTAAAATGCACTAGGGATATTGAGAACTTACAGATCGCGGGGGACACTGAGAAATTACGTTAAAAACTGACAGTCCTGCAGCTGCTGGGAGCATGACAGTCCTGCAGCTGCTGGGAGCGTGACAGTTTTCCAGCTGCTGGGAGCATGACAGTCCTGCAGCTGCTGGGAGCGTGACAGTCCTGCAGCTGCTGGGAGCGTGACAGTCCTGCAGCTGCTTGGAGCATGACAGTCCTGCAGCTGCTGGGAGCGTGGCAGTCCTGCAGCTGCTGGGAGCGAAACAGTCCTACAGCTGCTGGGAGCATGACAGTCCTACAGCTGCTGGGAGCGTGACTGTCCTGCAGCTGCTGGAAGCGTGACAGTCCTGCAGCTGCTGGAAGCATGACTGTCCTGCAGCTGCTGGAAGCGTGACAGTCCTGCAGCTACTGGGAGCGTGACAGTCCTGCAGCTGCTGGAAGCATGACTGTCCTGCAGCTGCTGGAAGCGTGACAGTCCTGCAGCTACTGGGAGCGTGACAGTCCTGCAGCTGCTGGGAGCATGACAGTCCTGCAGCTGCTGGGAGCGTGACAGTCCTGCAGCTGCTGGGAGCATGACAGTCCTGCAGCTGCTTGGAGTGTGATAGTCTTCCAGCTGCTGGGAGCTTGATAGTCTTCCAGCTGCTTGGAGCGTGATAATCTTGCAGCTGCTGGGAGCGTGACATTCTTCCAGCTGCTGGGAGCGTTACAGTCCAACAACAACACCAACAAAACATCAACAATATCAACAACAA